TGATCCTCCCCTTCCCCGGATGCTCCACTGATTGGTATAAAAGCCCGCATTTCTGTCATTTGCATGGGGACAGGAGCCCACAGCCAGGGAAATCAGAGAGAAATTAAGGGCAGAGGCTGGTCTCGGGAGATCTCAGGGATACAAGTCGTCCCAGCAGCTCTGGACTGTCTGCCTCCTGAGTATTAGAGCAAGTGACAAATAAGCTTGTATCATGTCTAAGTGACAACTATTGGCTAGTCACTAAGTAATATAGACGACTCTCAGAGTGAGTATGAGATCAATAATCTAAAGTACAAATTAGATTCTTGTGTTTGCATTAATAGTTCCTATGCAACCTTTGACGAGCGTCAATCTTGGTGTGTGAGATGTACTGTATATTTTGTATGAGTGAAGGGGTGAGGGGGACAAAGACCCAGATTGGGGGGGAGGGGGGCAGAGACCCCGAGGCGGAGTGACAGAGACCCATGGAGACGGGACAGAGACGGGCAGAAAGGTGGGAAGCGAGCGTAGGGCGTATGGAGATGCGAGGTGGGCAGAAGCCGGAGACAAAGAAAGAGATGAAATAAATAAGTAAGTAGGCGAGTCCCACAGAAGGGAACCTCCAAGGGTGATCAGGGAAAGAAGTGAATCAAATCCATCGCCTTCTGGGTCCCCATCCTGTGTCCACGCCCAGCACCTCCCCCACCCGGGCCCTGGATCGCCGTGGCCCACTGTGTCCTTCCGACCGACCGACCGACCACCAGCTCACTTGCCCATTCAGAGGTCCCTGGCACTGCCTAGGGCAGGGACCGGGTCATCGACAAGGACAGGCAGGAGGCAGACGGGGCAGGGGCCGGAGTTCCGGGGAGGAGGGCACTCACTTGACGGAGGCTGCGCTGGGCCAGCGCCGCCCCAGCTTGGCCAGCTGCTTCCTGGGATAATTGATCCAAAGGCCCACGGGCAGATGCAGCTTCCCGAAGCGGGGGCTCCCGCCCTCCTTCCGTTCACCAGATAGCATGGCCCTACGGGAGGGTGGGCAAGGCCCTGACTCCTGAGGCTTTGAGTAGTGGGGATGGGCTGGAGGGGAGGGGAGGGCCTGGACTTGGGTCAGAACCTGGAGGGGGGCTGGGGCCCAGGCTCCTGAGTCTGGGTAGAGGAAAGGGAAGGGAGCCCGGACTCCTGGGTGTGGGACGGGAAGTGGCCGAGGACTGAGTCCTGGATCTGAGGGAGGAGGGATCTGGACTCCCGGGTCCCCGGCTCTTACCCTGCTTCGGGTCCCAGCAGCACCCCGGGGGGCCCTGGCTCCGTCGGCCTGGGTCTGCTCCCGACCCCACTGCTCCTGTTCAGCCTTTCCTCTGCCCCAGCTCCCAGCACTGGGTGGGGGACAGGAAAAGGCCAGAGGAAACCCGGCAGGAAGAGCGGGGAGGGGGCGTCCTGTGAGGGGACCGGGCCTGGAGGAGGAGATCTGGGTAGCGCTGGCTCTGCCCCACTCCTTAATTCTGGATCGCACAGCAGCCCGCTGGGCCCTGCCAGGACCCACGGGGGGGCCTGGCTCCAGCCCCTCCTCCCTTGGAGAGGAGACTGTCCCCAGACCTCACCTCTTCGGGGAACCCCAAGTTGAGATCAGTATGGAGGAGTGAGTCAGATACTTAAAACAATCAAATAAATCTTTATTGGCTCCTAGATTTTTCGTCCTTTTTCTCTGGAACGTTGGGGCTCTGAGCAGCCTCCTTGGCAGTGCTGACCCAGGACTTTATGGAATCAATGAAGTATCCAGGATTCTTCTCGGACCAATAGCAGAGCATCCTGGGAGACAGTGGGGTGCACACAGCCAAACCGGGTCAGCCCCCAGCCCCCAGTATAGCTGATCTTATTCTAGCCATTATCCGAGCTTCGCCCTCCTCGGGAAGCCCCAACTGGTGGTTCCACACCCCACCCCCCAGTGGCAGTCCAGGGCTCAGGGCTCCACGGCTCCCAGACCCACCTCTGGACTGGAAGTCCCGCCCCTCAGCCAAGCCCTGCCTTTCTCTGCAGGCTGCTCACAAGATGACAATGCTGGCTATCAGCACCACAAAGCCCCAGATCAGCAGCCCGACCAGGAGGCTTCTCAGCATGTTCTCCACCGTCGGGGACTGCGCCGCGGAGGACGGCGACGGAGGCGGAATGGTGGTGGCGGCCGACTTGTTGGGCTTCCAAGTCACCTCGTCCAGGGTCACATCCTCCGGGTTTGGGATGATGTTTGTGGACGGCGTCTCCTCCACAACTCTTTTGGGCAACACTGATAGAGGAGGAGAAAGGGATCGTCCTGGGAGGCACCAAGAAGGTCCCAGCACAGCCAGGGCCAGGGCGAGCCCTCCGGGCCCCGGCCCGCCCCCGGACCCAGCCCCAGCAGGAGATAATTAACGTGCCTCCGACGGCTACGCCGGAACCCCACCCCGAAGGAAGCCCTGCCTACGTGGCCAAAGCCACACGCGGGGCAGGAAGTTATGCCCCCGCACACGCCCCTGAAGCAGGCCGCTCCCAACCCCGGACCCCGGAATCCCATTCTCCTCTCAGCTCCCCCGCACTGACCTCTGACATGATAACGGATGATGGTGGCGGGGCTGTTTTTCACGGTGTTCAGCTGGCAGCGGTAGGTGCCCGCATCCGATGGATTTGCCTTGGTCTTGGTCAGGGTGGGCGCTGTCCCCTTGTACACCATGCTCTCAGGTTTGTTCTTCCAAACCTAGACCCAAGCTCAAGGGGTCACAGAGGCCTGGGGAGTTCAGGGGTTGGGGGAAGTACAGGGGTAAGAAGATCACGGGTCTCAGTGGGGGAGATGGGAGTCCTGTGTACTGGTCGGGGTGTAGGGTCCGGAAGGGGTCATTGGCAGCCAAACCTAGTGGGTCATGGGTCATGGGGAATGTGAGACAGGGGGGCACACGGGCCTGGGGGCTCGGAGTTCAAGGGGTACGGGGTTGGAGGGCCCCACCCTGTAGAAGGTGTAATCAGTCAGGCCTTCAGAGATGTGATGCCAGTTGAGCTCACAGTCCAGGATCATGTCTTCCATTTCATGGACATTGACTCTGCGCTCTGGGGACAGGGGGTCACGGTGGGATGGCGCTTTATGGCTCTTGGCCTTCCCCCAACTCCCCTCCACTGGGTCAGCCCCGCCTTTTCTCTTCCGCTGACCGGTGGCCTTGGCCCACCCCTCCTCTCGGGCCCAGCTCTCTCACCCCCGCAATCCAGGTTCTTCCGACAAGCGTGAACCTTCTTCTCGCAGGAATTGCACCAGGTCAGAGTCTGCAACATCATACCTGCGGGAGCAGGGTCAAGGCTGTCTGCGCCCCCTGAGAGGCGGGGCTAAAAGGAGAGGGCCAGGGCAAGGCTGCGGGGCAGGGCAGGGCCAGGCTCGAGCCCAGCTCGGTAGGAAGCCGGGATCTAACCAGGCTCCGGAAAGAGTGCTCCCCTAGATGGCCTTGGTGCAGAAGGAATGCTGGAGACCCGGACCCTCGCAGGCGCGGAGAATGAAGACACAGGAGACCCAGCAGGGGGAGGAGAAAGGCTGGGCATTCACAGTAGATATGAGGGAAAGAGGACCAGCTCCCATACTCCGTACTCACCGCATTTGTTGGGACAGAGAGCTGCCTCGGAAGAGAAAAAAAAAAAAAAAGACAATCATATTGTTAAGCTAAAGGGGATGAGAGAGGGGGCAAAGGTCGGGGCTGGTGCTGGAGCTCCCAGCTTTGCGGGAGGAAGGACCTGGGTGCCTGAACCCCTGGGTCTGAGGGAGGAGGGACCCGACCTGGAGAAGCAAGGGGCTGGGGACAAGGACTCTTGGACGGAGGATGGGGAGGCTGGGGGCCCGGAACTCCCATCTTCCCTCACCATCTTTTTGGAACAGAGAAACGTGTCTGGCAAAGGTCTCCTTTTGCTGCTTCAACATCCAGAACAGCTCCTTCACGAGGAGCTCACCTGGGAAGAAGCAGGATGAAGCAGAGGGGTCCCCTCCCCGCCTCCAGGTGTGAGCTACAGGAAGTGTGTCTCTGCCTGCAGAGCCTGGCTCTCAGAACAGTGAAACTGAATGGCCACTGAACATACTGGCTAAGCAACGGCTGGGACTAGAGCCCTGTTGTGGTGTCCGGTCGAGGGTGACAAAGCTGCAAGGCCACACAGCTAGCAAGTGGCAGAGCCAGGAATCGAACCTAGGCAGTCTGGTTCCAGAGCCCAGTACCTGGCCAGGTGTCACCATCGATCACTTCCCTGAGAGATTCTGGAGCCCCTCCCCTGTCCCCTCCATGCATTTACCTATCTTTAAAAATATATATTTTATTGATTTTTTTACAGAGAGGAAGGAAGAGGGATAGAGTTAGAAACATCAATAACATCAATGAGAGAGAAACATCGGTCAGCTAGCTGCCTCCTGCACACCCCCTACTGGGGATGTGCCGGCAACCAAGGTACATGCCCTTGACCGGAATCGAACCTGGGGCCCTTCAGTCCACAGGCCGACGCTCTATCCACTGAGCCAAACCGGTTAGGGCCATGCATTTACCTTTTACGTCACTGTCCGTGATGCGTTTCAGTTCCTTCAGAAAACTCCAGGTTCCCTTTTCCAGTGTGTCATCATCTGTGGCGGGGTAGACAGAACCTCAGATTCCAGTGTTAACTGTATGGAGGGCTCACCTAGTCTTAGAAACTACAATACCCATGGGGCCACTGGGCAAGGATAGGCCTGGTGAAGGGACGATCCGCCTGTTGCTTTCTGGGAATTGTAGTTTTGTTGCATAAAATTGCAGGATAAGGGGTAGGGGAACACAGTATTTGCTAGCCCTGGGGAAACCCCCTAAATCTGTACCCAAACCCAGAAGACTCTGCCTCCAGCCCTCTCATCCTTGCACCCAGCAACCCTAGCCCCAGACCCCTCCTTTCCCAGGACCCAGGAGTCCCGGCTCTGCCTGGCCCTCACCGACGACCTCCAGAAAGGATTCGTCCTCCTCAAGCTCCAGATTCTTGAAATCCTTCACGGTATCCTCTAACTTTTCCATCAGGGCTTTGTGATGCTCAGCCCCCAAGTGGTCGGGCAAGTAATCCGTCTCCAAGGATTTTAGAGCCTCCACGACCCTTTTATCACACCAGAGACAACCCAGGGCAGGAAGCAGGCAGCTGCCCAGCGCGGCCACCAGGAGAGGAAACCGCGGCCCCATTGAGGCCAGGGCGTTCAATCCACGCCGACCTCCGGGAAAGGTCCTTCCACCCGGAGGCCGTGTGCGCTAAACGAAGAGATGCCCTTCCCCGAGACGAACGGACCCCCCACCTCCCCCCAATGTGCAGGGCGCACACTTCTCGTTAGGAACACGAGGAGTCCCGATGCACCCTCATCAGCCACTGCCCGATCCGGACTCCAGAGCCTTGTGCCTGCAAACACTAGGGTTCGCGGAAGAGCCGGGGGTCCAGGCTCCGAGGGCTTTGCGAGAGGAGGACCCGGCCACGTCCCTCCACCCTACTATTTTCCCACTACTAAAATGAGGGGTTTTGGTTAGGGGCGAGGGTGAGGTTGGTTGCGTGGTATCGAAAGCATTGGACTGGGGTCAGAGGCACGGCTCGCCCCACGCCACGAGGTACTCCCACGGCAAACGACTTCTAACTTCCTAGTTGGAGCCCGAATTCCCAAGGGATACTCCCTGGGAGCTTCCTTGGCCCCGCCCAGAAGCTGCACTCCGAGCCTGATTGGACCGCAACAAAGGGAGTCCCCGCCCATCGCGCGGTGACGTCACAGAGGCGGCCGCCTTTTAGACCGGAACTTTCCCAGCATTTACCGAAGAAGTGCCCCTTCTGCTCCGGCTTGCCAGGCACGAGGAACGGGGTTCCGGCCTCAGCTTCCTCCCCATCCCCGGCCCCAGGACCCAAGCTCCCCACTAGGTGCCCAAGACCCCGGCGTCGTCGACATAGGAGGACGCGAGAAGCGGCCCTTCCCAGCGCTAGGAATAGAACTCCCAGAAGGCCCCCTGGTCTCCCTCCAGAGCGCCGCAGCCAGCCCCATGGCATTATGGGAAATGTAGTTCAAGACCTAGACTCTGTGCTCACTTCCTCCTCCACCTTCTCTCCCAGCCTCTGGGGCTGAATGCCAAGGTCCCGGAGGAAAGTGAGGTCTGGGGGACCGTATTGAGAGGTGAGAATGGAAGTGGGGCTCAGAGACCACAAGTCTGACAACAAGAGGCTGCCAGATCTGAGCAGGGAGAATACCCTAAGACATGAGCCATGAGAGTCCCTGGAAGTTCAGCACTTTTCCTCCTAACACACACACACACACACACACACACACACACACACACACAAACACAAAAGACTCCAAAAAAATTACAGAGACAGAGTTTGCTGATGTGGACTTTTAATTCATACCTCCTTCTCCCACCCATGGCAGCTGAGTAGGGAATAGCACCCCCCCCCCCAAAAAAAAAAAAACTACAAACAAAACTCCATGAGAAGACTAGAAACAAGTCTGTAATAAAAGTATCAACCTTCATCCCCTTCAAAAAGCATCAAGGGGCCCTAGCTGGTTTGGCTCAGTGGTTAGAGAGTCAACCTGCGGACTGAAGGGTCTCAGGTTTGATTCCGGTCAAGGGCACATGCCCAGGTTGCGGGCTTGATCCCCAGCAGGGGACATGCAGGAGGCAGCCAATCAATGATTCTCTCTCATCATTGGTGTTTTTCTCTCCCTTCTCCCTTCCTCTCTGAAATCAATAAAGATATATTTAAAAAAAAAAAAAAAGCACTAAGGGGCTCCTGAAATCTGAGTCAAGAATCCGGTCCTCCTTGGCTAGACCCTAGCCAAGGGCACTCCTGCTTGGGTATGAGACTAGTGCAGGGTCTGCATACCCTCGGATCTTCCCATCCCTCACTTGCCCAAGGCCAGAGTCAGTGAATTTAGGGGCAGACAGACAGTGGTTGGCAAGGGGGCC